AGTTACCCAGAAGAGTGTCCTACAAGAGTGTCTCACGAGAGTGTCCCATAAGAGTGACCCACAAGAGTGTCCTACAAGAGTGTCCCAAAAGAGTGCCCCGCAAGAGCTTCCTGCAAGAGTGACCCGCAAGAGTGTCCCACAAGAGTGTCCCACAAGAGTGTCCTACAAGAGTTTCCCACAAGAGTGTCCCACATGTAGCTTTTCGAACGTGTTTGCATTCGGGTTCGTGGGCTCCATCTTGTTCTTCATCTTTAACACGATGTTGGTCTGAGACCTTTCGCCATCACGCTGATGTGTGCATGGCCAGCAAAGCTACTTTCACCTGGGTGTGTGCGTAATTGACACACACACATACTGCTGTGTATATAGTGTATATAGTTTCTTATTCGGCAAGACATTGAACCATTGTTTCGGTGGTCCTCCCTCTTCCAAGGTGCGCGCTCAAGTGGCCTTGGAGTGATGGGTGCCGGCGCCGTGGCTGCCTGTGCAGCTACTGCTGCTGCTGTTGTCAGGCAAACTGTGATTACACAAAGTAATTTTAGTCAGGAGTTAGTATCTCCATTTATTTCCATGAAATGTTAGCGGTCACTCACTTGTTGATGCATTGTTGTTGCGTACTTTACATGACTTTTGCTTGTGTGCTACTTTCGCTGTAGGACTAGGAATCAAAGAACGTTTGACAGGCCAGGGCGACCTGCCAAAGGCAGCCCTGGTAGGCATGTGGGCAGGCTTGGATTTGTTGCTGGTTGACGGGCGGTTGCCAACAATTTTGAGCAGTGAGTTGCTCCGAGGGCTTGAGAAACATTTTTCAAGAAGAGCTCAGGGTTTTTCCAAAGGCGTTCATTTTGCATGAAACCTCGACACAATCGGTTCTCGTGTTTCTTACCGCATTTGTACAGGACTGCAGCATCTGCACTCAACCCAGACAACTTCAGCGATGTTTGCGATCAGACTGGTGTCACCCTGAATCGCTACATGATTGAGGCTCAGCTGCGAAACAAGACGCAAGAAACATATGAGAGTTGCTGAAAAATAAGTTTGACAGTCACAAAGTGTAAACTAGAATGATCGCTCGCATAGTTTATTCACAAAATCTGACTGCCAGCTGCTCGAAGGCAAACCGACAAGGGGTTGTGGACACTGACATCCTTTCGGTAGCTGGCCTACTATTGCAGAATTACATGTGGCAATATGCACTTTTCAAAGGTACATGGTTGTACCGTATGTGTTACACATGAAATGCTGATGACTTTGAGGTCATGAACTCTATCCGGGAGGCTCGAGGTTTTAGTTTTCGTTCTTTTTCCGAGTTGTCGCTTGATTCTGCTGTATCAAAACAACTCCGTATATAATTGTAGTCTGTAGTCTTGGTCACTTGCTGTTGGTGGCCTCGACTTTTGTAAGGAGTTCTTTTGGTCCAACCACTCAGTAAACCACATGATCTCTTGACAGTGGGAAGCTTTGAAAAGGATTGATTTTAGGGAGGCAAGGCCTGGCAAAGCATTATTATTGAAGCTCCACTTGTTTTGAACTGTTGCTTTATTGCTTGAAGAGGCCACAAAAGTCATCTCTAAGCTGGTGAATACTGCTCCGTTGGCACAGGCTCGCTTGGCCATAGTCACCGTAGTCAATGAACATTCTGTCGAAGAAGCTGATGGCTAGAAAGCCGAGCAAGTTGAAGTATGCTATGATATAACTATGCTATGATATACTGTAACATTCGTGAGCGAAAGTCTTACAATACTATCCATTACTATCCTGGGGCAGCCCAATGATGCTGCGCGTACTCACTGGACAATCCTCTAGACAAATATGCATTGGGTTGGGCAGAGTAGCTGTGGCTGTGGCCAGTGAAGCCAGCTGCAGTCTCACCCATAAGAGGCACTCAAGAGGAGCAATGCTTTCGCTTTTTTGGTGTAGTTTATGTAAGAAGCACTCATGCACTAGGATGTCATGCATTCATCCAAGATGACACGCACAAACGAGAAGTGCATCTTACATCAGACCTTCTGTTGCTTGAGTGAAAGGGTTCGCATGGTAGTGGAGGCTGAGAAGCTCACCATTGGGTGAGTCGGGTTGATCGCCCAGTCCTACAGGCCTAGTTGATATTCACTTCGAAGCAGGATGGAGCGTGAGCTGGTTATGCGGATGATGGCCAACTCAAGACGTGGTTGCAACTCAACGCGGCAAAGTCACAGGTCTACAGCAAGCTTCGAGAAGCCACGGTGGAGTATGTCAACGGACCTTGAATGAAGCAGCGTGATGATTTTGGGCTCAAGTGCAGAAGGAGCAACGCCCGTGGAGGTAGATAGAGTGAAGGGCCAGAGGTTGAGGATCTCTGTCAAGGGTGGGAAAGTGGAGCAGGATGGAGGAGTGCGTGTACGCGCAAGAATCACTCACGCACGAGAGAAGTGTACTACCTGACGTAACACCTTTTTGCTTGAGTGGAAAGAGCTTCAAGAGAGAGAGAGAGAGAGAGAGAAGCCTTGGCTTCTGCTTTTCGGCGAGCACTCCCAGAAGGCTCCTTAGCCGCAGCTGTGACAGCTGTTTTTGCAGCTTTGGCAGCTGAAAGCGGCGCAGCGCAATGATAGCGAGCAACCTCAGCAGCTGAGAGTGGTGCTGAGTGTATTTCTTGTTGCGCTGGAGGAGCAAAACCTTCGGTAAACAGTTTTAGGCTCCTGTGGTTGGTTCAAAGCGTCCCCGACTGCACGTTGGACTGGGTCGATCTTTTCCGGCAAAAGGCGCGGAGCACATGTGACGCGGATGATCAGCCCATGCCGCTGGCCTTCTTCCTCTGATGACGATTCCATGCGCACTCAGGCCTCGATGTCAAAGCCTGGCACCGGATCGGGAAAACACCGGCTGGGGCACTCAGGCCCAAAGTCCGTGGTAGCAAAGCCTTCGCCGCGCCGGTCCAGCTGTGCAACGAGCGCCGCAAGCAAAGCGAGCTCTTCGGCAACCGCGACGCGTGGCGGTTTTACTGCGCGAACTATTGGTTTTAGCGCGCGTTGCTGGAGGAGTCAGTTCGACAGGTGGTGAAGGGCAAGCGCTTCCAGCCAGGAACGTGGCCAAGCTTTGCAAGGTGAAAAGACGCTGTGGCCTTCGTTGTGGAGGGGAGAATGAGGAACACGCCAGCGCACCATTTTTAACAAGCTCATTCATGCCAGCCAGCATGGGGTAGTAGCGCTTGTTGTCAGTTGTGCTCCTCCCCACTCTCCACTTCCTCCAAGAATTCCCGCCAGCTTATAAACCAAGCCCCCACCGTGGCCACTTACACGCCGGATTTCAAACTAAGCTGGTGCCTTCTCCAGTTTATCAATGAACTTCCACTTGCTGTGCGCAAGCAAAAGTAGGGAGGCTCTGGCTGCCTTACCGCTTTTGGGCGGTCAGGGACGAGCTGATCAGGTTCTCACTGGACAGCTCAGCGGGGGTTATCAGGTAAAGTGCAAGAAGGAGGCAAAGATTAAACTTGTCCGTTTGGGAATAACCGTCTCTACCCCAGGTCCTTGTCAATAAGACCAGCTGCGAATTGGCAACGTTGCATGAAACGTAGTCAGTTGCCCAAGGGCTAGGCCAAGTCATCTTTGACCACTTGAGGTAGGTCTTGAGGCCGCGTTGTTTGCAGCTGGCATTGTTTTACACGGGGCAACGGGCCAGTGCCGTGCTTCTAACGAGGATGAACATGCCACCTCTGGTTGCGTGGTCTTTCAGCCTGTCAATGGCCTTTCAATGTTTGCCGTGATCTTCTTGTCAGGCGCAAAAATGCAGGCAACGAGTTTTGGAGAGGAATTAAGAGACGGTGAAGAATGCAGCGACTGCTGTGACTGGCTTGGTGGCACGCGCCCGAGACCTTTGGAGACAAGGCCCAGGATCAAAGAGCCTAGACACCCAGTGACTCGCCGCGGTGAATCTGAGTAGATGCGGAACAATGTCAGGGAGATGATCCACGACGCAGCGCAGTACCAGAATGCTTGAAGCAATGTGTGTGACCAAGAGGCCCAACTCGCACAATTGACAGAGGTGCGCGGCAGGAAAAGAATAAGACGAAGTGATCGATGTGCAAAATGAGAGTTTGAGAGCGGATGCGCTGGTGGAAGAGCTGCCAGCCAGCTGAGACAAAGCAGACGCAGCGAGGCAAGGACTTTCAACTTTTCTTGCAAGCCGGTCAGAGGGCACATACATTGAGTGTGAATGCTGATCAACGCCCGGAGATCACATAGGAAAGTTGTTCATTTTGATCCGTGCCCTCATGGACTGCCCTCGTGGAATCAGGCAGCGGGGTTACATATGGCTTGAACTGGTGAAAGTAGGAATCCACCACAACCTGTCACCCCAGCAGGTGCCACGCACAATTGAGAACATACTGTCTGGGGCATTTGAGTGGCGCGCTGCACTTTGCAGTATATAGCTTTATATATATGAGTATAGCAGCATATAGTAACTTTGAACCTTTCCAGACTCCACCTTCAGGCTGAACTTTTGGGCCTGGAAGGTGCAATCAATGTGCAGGGCGAGGTGTGTTGTTTTCGACGTGAATGAGCTTCGGTGTTTGCGAGTCCAGAGTACTTTGTTTGCGAGTTGTTTTACAGCCTTGTGAGGACCAGAAAAAGTTGGATGTCATCACAAACGATGTCTTGAAGAAGGCCTTAATGCTAGTTGCATCTTGCGGCTTGCGTTTGTCAAAGGGGTTTCCAAAAGCATTCGTGCTCCAGTCCCAGTTTCATTTTGATTCAACAGGGTGCTGACATTGCAGGCCCTCCGATACACAGGGAAGCTGGGCACGATGGCATCTGAGGAGGAAGACATGCCCGTAAGCGCGGCTTTGTCTCTGGATCTGGAGGACAGGGATAAGAACGAAAACTGGGCATGTTGTTGGAACAAATTGGTTGTGAGATAGACTTGTCATTTTTTGGATTAAGGTTGAACTGTCACAGGAAAACAAATTCAACGTTTGTTTGTCAACATTTCATTTTTTTCGGCAAGCTGAAGTGCTTTGTGGAATACAATATTTTCATGCATGTGTTTGATTTGGCGCAGACCACAGCTTCGGGCACAGTCTTATCTGACACTGGAAAGTATGCGACCTGCCTGCAAACATACTTGTTCGTCCAAACTGGGGCGAATTAACGAGACTTTGAACTTGGCTCAGGTGTGCGTGTGCGGCACTCAGCAAACTGTTCAAACTGGCAGCTAGAGGGACATGCAAAGACAAACGTGCTTTGTAGGGGTTGCTAGGATGCTCAGGATGCCCGTTTAGGCGTTTAGGTGTGTGGTTCTTTTCACAAGGTTTGACCCGCTGGATGGAAGCAGCAATGTAGATGCTGGCATTGCCGTCGGCACCATTTTTGGAATTTTCAAGGACACGATTCTGGCAGCAATCCAGCAGTAGCTATCCGTAGCATTGAGCAGCTCCAGGAAGCTTTGCGACACATATATTTGCAATTGGTGAGGAATCTGAGGAGTCCAATGCAGTTTGTGACCTTCCAGCAAACATCAAGGAGGGGGCTGGGCTCGAATATGTTGAGCTTGTGTTGCGAGCTGGTGAGGAATTCCTTTGTTTTGCACAGGATCTAGATGGTGATCAAGTATCCTGCCTTGCAGCAACTTTGCAGCCTGGCAAGGCTGTGGTGATGAGACAGACACTAGACCTTGACAAGGATCGCAATTCAGTTTTGGAACATTTCCTTGCGAGGCTCTGGTCGCTGCTGGCTATGTACTCTACAGTTGCTCCACAGAATTGGTATTCACCTTGGGAAGGCACCCAACAGCTCTACACTCGCTTATCAAAGAACACACATAGGCAGAAATTCTTGAAGGGTCAAAACTTCAAAGTGACTGTTGTATTGTCACCAGTCTTGCAGGGGTGTTGTCGGCTTCACTTTGGACAGCTCTATTGGCGAGTATGTGCTGACCCGTCCAAGCATTGAGCAACCTGGCAATGCAAGACAAGTGAGACAGTTTACAATCAGAATCCGGACGTTTGTTGTGTTCGCAAAGGATTCCAAGTCGTGGAAAAATCTATTCCTGCAATGAGGCTGGAGCGAAACAGTGAACCAAGCTTTAACAAACTATCTCGAAATAATTGACAGGCCAACATGGAAAACTGGGACGAGCCCTTCCAACAGTACATCAAAGACCTGGGCTGCTTTGTCCTGTGCAGAGACAATAGTAGTTGTGAATCGCGAACATTGAACTCTGAAAAAGTTGCTAAAACTCATGGCTATGCATGAAGAGATCGTGAATACTATTGCTCGGAGCCTTCACACACTGGTCTGCAGCATCTGGCCATGTACTGTAAGCACTCCAGACTCCGCCACAGCAACATGCCAGAGCCAAATCCAGTCAGTTTAGCTCGAGCTCTCTGCAACCTTGCGCGCTGGGATGGATGTGGCCGAAGTCTTTCAGGTCTATGCATCGCACAATGGCACCCGGGCTCAAGTGGTTTATGCACATTCACGTATTCAGCTAGTTTGGTTCTTCATAGCAATTCTACTTCCTGAGGTATGGACATCCGTGCTTTCATCAAAAGCATGAAAGATAGTGGCTTGTTGGACGAACATTTTACAAAGGCGCGTGTTTTTGGCGAAAGAAATGGCTGTCAATAGCATGCGATTTCATGAGCTCAAAAGGACCGCGTAAGTTCGGAAGGATGAAGGTGGAGTTTCATCCATGAGAACATTCCTACTAGCCATGACTTCCAACCCAACCTACTAGCGATGGCCTTCATTTCAAAGAAGGTGGAGTTTCATCCAGAGCTTCAGAGCAGTACCGCCTTGAAGGTTGATGCAGACTTAGCATTCTTCAAGTGCACTGCGCGTCACACACGGAAGATTGGCTTGGAGGACTTGTGATGAAGTTGCCATTTTGCGTGTGCTTTCCCTTGTGTGCTTGAGACAGGACTTTGTGCAGATTCTGAAGTGCATTGCCAAGTGCCTCAGCTGGAGATGGCCAAGTTAAAATCCAAATCCAAGGTGTGACTCTTGAAGTGATGTGCAGGCGCCGCTCGGTCAGTGACCAAGAAGTCTTCCAACAAGCTGCTAGTGGTGCAAGCGAAACCACGCTTGGCCGAGAGAGGTGCAGTGAGGCTGCCAGCACACTCTCATGTCTTTCCTGTTTTTGTTAGATTCCCATGAGAGGACAGCCAGCCAAGCATGACACGCACAAAACGTGAAGTGTACAAACTTGCCACTTAAGGCTCGAGTTGCAAAAGCTCATTTTGCTTCGCATGGTAGCGGAGCGTGGCCGTAAGAGCCCGCTCCGTTGCCCACGTCACCGCACCACGAACCGCCATTTGAATAAGCGGATTTCCTCGCGAGGAGCTCAGCCGGTGGCTGTGTGGCTGGTGGAGCTCCTGATCCTCAGCTGCTTGGCGGGTGGTGCTGGAGATCTGTGGCAGAAGGAGGTTTGCTACTATATCCCTCCAAGTGTGGTGGCACACTCCTCGAGGCGGAAGGTGTACCACATCCACTCGGTCGAGATCGACACCGAGGAGCACGTGGGCAAGCTACAGTGGGCTAGGAGCAGTGAGGCTGTTCGAGCCTCGTTGCTGGTGAAGAAGAAGAAGGAGAAAGGGAAGAAAGGAAGATCCAGGGAAAGGAAGCAGCTGGTTGTGATAGTCCCAGCGAGGTGGAAGTTCCTGGAGCGCATTGAGAAGGTGAGGGACCAGACGGAGAACGAGAAGATCTGTGAAGTATACCAACTTGGAGATCAAGGAAGAGTTCGAGAACGGAGAGCCCAACTTGACCACCAGGACGTACTACCCCAGTGTGGTCTACATCCAAGCAATGGCAGAAGACAGCTTGAAGATGATATCGGCAGCCCTTGAGAAGTTGACTGTGGCCCAAGAGAAGTTGACGGTGACTCAAAGCTCAAGCTCATGGGCCAGACACCTGAAGACTCCAGTTCTGTTCAAGCCCGATTCCAGGGACAATGAACTGAAGCAATGGAGCGACTGGAAGTTTTCCTTTGAGAACTACATCAAAGGGATTGACGCTCCTATGGCCTACAGCATGAAGCTCGTGGAGGAGAACCTCAATGGGAACTATGAGCTGGACGAGATGACTGATGAAACGAAGGCCCAAGCCATTCGCCTCTACAGCCTGCTGACCTCTTACCTCCGCAACAGACCACTAAAGCTGGTGCGGCACATGAAGCAGGAAAATGGATTCGAAGCCTGGCAACGACTCCTGAGAGAGATGCAGCCGGTGACGAGAGCAAGATCACTTGCACTCCTGACCCAGCTTTCACGGGTTCGGTTTGCAGAGGGCAAATCGATCTCAGAGCAGCTACCTGTGTACGAGTCCATCGTGACGGAGTACGAGAGAATCTCAGGACACACCTACTCCGATGACAACAAGGTAGCTTCGATCCTACAAGCTGTCCCAACCCACTTGAGGTCGCATCTGCATCTCTGGATCTGAGAACGAGGCCACGGAGGAAGAATGAAGGCGCTCACGGATGCAGTGGCAGCGGGTCTGGTCAGACAGTCGCACCTGCGCCGGGATTGAGACCACAGCCAACAACACCTGGAATGGCAGGGACAAGTGCAACGCCCCAAGCACCAGGACTAGCGCCTGCAACACCGAGGTTGAAGAGACCAAGTGATGGAGAAGGAGAAGAGCCAGAGAGGAAGAAAGTGGATACATCAGACTCTCCAAGGAAAGGTCACGAGAAGACGAGAAGAGGGAAGCAGAAGCTGAGAGGCCAGGGACGGAAAAGAAGCAAAGGCTTGAGGATGAATCAGCTGCTATGCCATCAAGTACCACAGGGACAAGATCAAGAGATGAGGATGGTGATCAAGCAGTACCAGACTCACCAAGCAAGGTGGCTAGACTGTACCCGCCGCATTATGCTGGCATTCAGTCAATCGAGGCACATGGAGACGAGGAAGTGGGCCAAGACATGATCCCTGAGGAGGTGAACGAAGAGATGTTTGCTGGGTATGGTGGAAATGAAGACGATGAACCACCTATCGCAACAGAAGAGCATCTTCAGTTGCTGGATGAGAAGGCAAAGCAGAATGAAGTGGAATGTATGCTCAAAATGCCGGCCATGGAGAAAGCCAGTCGAGAAGAAGTGGAGGAATGCAGTGGCTACACCATCTCCACAAAGTTCGTCATCGCTTGGAAGCGCAGACTGGAGAAGGGAGGATGGTTTCGGCGAGCGCGTTTGGTCGCGAGGCAGTTCAAGCGCAGTGTAGATCTTGATCAAATGTTCGCCCCCACGTCGATCATGGTACTGCCCAAAATGCTCAATGTCTTCAAGCATTTCAGGGCGATGACCTTGGACATCAAAGACGCCTTCCTGATGGCGGACCAACCAGCAGATGAAAGAGCTTTTGTGGAACTGGATGGACAAATCTACAAGCTCATCAAATGTCTGCCCGGCCAGAGAACAGCAGCATCTCAGTGGTTCCAACTGTTTGTTGGAGCTGCAAAGAAATTTGGACTAGAGCAAGATCCAATGCAGCCCACACTGCTGATGATGCAGAAGGAAATGTACATCACAGTACATGTAGACGACGTCTTCATGGTGGGCAATGAGGCCGTGCTGAAGAACTCCGCGCAATACGCGCAGAAGAAGAAAGGATGGAACGTTGAAGTCGAAGGGCCATTCGGCATGAACGAGAAGTTCCACTATCTGAAGCGAGAATTCTGGCCTGGAAATGAAGGATGCGACATCAGGTGCGATTATAAACAATATGAAAGCCTGGCAAAGGACACCGATGTCTACAAGAAAGCGTACAGGAAGACTCCCATGGACCAGAACTTCGCCAAGAAAGATGAGAGCTCGCTGCTAGAAGGAGGAGACATCACCAAGTTTCGCAGCGTGGTGGGAAGACTGATGTATTTGTCGGGAGAGAGACCTGACGCACAATTCAGCATCCAGAGCCTGGCGAGAAGTATGGCTAAGCCGACTCAACAAGCGTGGAAGAATGCCTGGCATGTGTGCTCCTACCTCCAAGGCACTATGGGTTTTGGAGTGAGAATTGGCCTGAGGAAGAAAGGCCAATCGGTCATGGACGTCAGAGAAGAGGATGGGGTTGAAGAGAAGAAGCCCTTGATCGAGGTGGTGACCGATGCTGACTACGCAGGTAACAAGAACGACCGACGAAGCACCACATCATTCCAGATCTTCATCGATGGGAATTTGATGGAATCCAGGGTGCGGTCACAGAAAGCACTAGCCCTGTCCTCAGGAGAGTCAGAGTTTGTGGCAATTGTGGCAGGGTGCTCTGATGGAATGTTGATCCGCCACCTCTGGATGACCATGGTTGGAGAGGCATGTGGCATGAAAGTCCGCTCCGACAGTTCAGCGGCAAGAGCAATGGTGCAACGCCAGGGAATCGGTCGAGTACGACACTTGGATGCTGCACTACTATGGGTGCAGCAGAAGGAGAGTGAGAAGGTCTTCAATGTTGGAGCCATTGGCACCGCACTCAACTGTGCCGACATTGGAACAAAGAACCTGACCAGAAGCCGACTCTTTGGATTGCTGTATATGTTGAAGATGATTAGCAGCGCTGGAGAGCGCATCGGCCAGCAGGAGTTCAAAGACCTGGAATACAAGGAAAGGATGAGAAAGGCCACAAAGAAGATCATGAAGGTGAAAGACCTGCATGTGGGACTGCTGATGATCCTGTCGAGACTTGAAGAAGTGGCAGGAAAAGACCCAGAGCAAGAAGAAGAGAACTATGATTGGAGCTGGATGATTTTCATCCTATGCGCGCTATGTGGAGCCTTGAGCATCACAGGATGGTTGCGGCGCTATATGATGGAAGGCTTCCTGGGCAAGGGCTGGCGCTATATGGTGGAGAAGGTGACGGCCATGTTCAGGAAGAGGACCCAAGAAGGAAGGGTCGAGAAGAAGAATGTGGGCAGTCAAGCCCATTGGATGGAAGATCTACGATCGTATCTGCAGGCATACGAGGAGAATGAAATCAAGACGCAGGACGAGCTGAACAAGAAAGACCCCTACATCGAGGAACTTGAGAACGGAATCAAAGAGATCCGCCTGCAGAGGCAACAAGCTCTAAAGGAGCTGGAGATTTCGGAGGCATATGGTCTGAGACTTTTGAAGCAGACCAGCCAGTACAGAGTAGCATCAAGGGGAAGTGTTATTCACTTTTGCGCCA